AAGGGAGCGACATCCAAAACAAAGCTTGCATTTATATAAAGAGTGTTAATTAAAAATTGAAAAGATTTAACAGTATCCTTTGACAATTCTATTTTCATCGTTTGAATAGGATTCAGCAAAATGTGTGTTAAAGAGCACGTATGCTCTATGTTGTTGATGTTAAGAAATAACAATGTTTTGAATAGTGCTTGACATTGGTTGTTATAGGGTCGCCTTAATTTAAAAACTTTACATCAGCTACTTTCTTTTTGAAGAAACACATAGCTATTTAAATGCACTTGTTGAACTGATTGAAGACTTAGCAGCGTGGAACGCGCATATACGTCAGAGGAAATTACTTTTTACGTCATATCATCAAAAAAATTTGAGCTTGCTGTTTACAAAGTCAAAGTTATGTTCACATGGTACACAGCATGGCATTTAAAAACAATAAAAAACACGCACAATTTTGTTTTCTCGATAATTTTGAAAGTGATATGGAAGGCAATCCAACCAATATCATTCGTAATAAATTAAATAATTTGAACCCGAGAGTATCGTTACATGTTTGTGGATGTAGATAGTCCAAGCTAGTAGAGTCCTGAGGAAGACTATTGTTCTTGATGTTAACTGACGTTTTGACAACCGTATAGTGGTAAGCCATTTCAGTTTTTAGCCAGAATAGTCGGCTAATGAAGATCAAGAAGGTTACCAGTCAATTGAGAATAGGAATTTGAGTATGTTGATCATTAGCATTAACCAAGCCTCAACAATTGATGACGAACCATGGTGTGCCATTCTACAATAATGAGTTAAAAATAAGAGTAACGTTGACAGATGTTTTGTAATTATAGAGATGCAAGGTTGGATCAGCGCCCACTGTCAAAATAAATTATAAATGTATTCGATCAAGCTATACGTAGGTATGTTTGTTTGAATAAAGGAAATCGTAAAAATAATTCGACGTCTGCCGTAAGAAAAACCGGCTACCACTTTCAAATCTGCACGACGGACAAGTTTTTTTTGCAATAATAAGTTTTGAACCATTACAAAAGTTTCGTCGAAATAAAATTTTGATTTTATATATTTGTTATGACTGAATATGTAAGAGCACCTAGATCCAATCAGATGTTAACATGCATGTTCTCTTTTACATAGTAGCCATGCCAACATACCAAGCTTCATTGCATTCAAGACTTACTTGAATACATTTAACTCGTGTAACGCTAATGAAACACTTATTTGCAAGAGATAAACAATTTGTAATTATGGAAAGTGTAAATTATACACATAATCTAAACATAAGTTATAAGCTGGGTGCTTACAATTTCAAGTGTATGTACATAAGGGCCTGTTCATATGAGCCGGGCTGGCCCTTTACCGAGCTAGCCCGGCAGTAGCAAGATCTCACCTCTTTTAGTATTTACATATAATTTCAAATTTGATTTATATGAGCGAAGGGCTGGCCGGTCTTGCCTGGATGTCCCTTAAACGAGGCAAGATCTCGGCATAAAACGGGTTCATGTCAATGCACAATGCGGGCTAGACCGGCATGCCGAGTTAAACATCGTACTATTGCGCATGCTCATAAAATTCAATGCGATGCAAAAGATAGGGCAAGCAAAGAACAACTTTCGGTGGACTATAGACTAATGCATAACATCATTGAGTTTCTTTCAGCTTATAAAAGTAACATAAAGTATCGAGATTTGGACTTTTATGCGGCGTGCGTAAATAATTATTACTGTACTTTGTCGGGCTAGCCCGCCTCATGTGAATCAAATAATAAACTGGCCAGGCAAAGTCGGCCAGCCCGGTTCATATGAACAGGCCCTAAACTAATAATAATTCGTTATTTATTGACATCACATTTCTTTGACATAAAGGCACCCGTCATACTATGTCACCGACCAACGCAAAAGCAAATTTTGCCATTTTATGATATATGATCGATATCCACAAGCTTGGAGTTAGGACAAGATCATGGAAGCTCTATTGATGTATTTAAGTCAACTGTATTTTAATAATTTATTGCCAACTATCGATGATGCATGCACGTAATTTCATGTTGAGTATTCATGAAGAATAGGATGGTTTCATCTGATAATAAAAGAGTTTAATTATTTGAGATTTAGACAGTAGCTATTTTATGCTCGAAGTTTCGTCCAATGAATTTGCACTATTACTAGTTCTGCTTGACTATGCAATGTTTAAAAGACGAATTTTGCGCCACTATTTTGTTGTATATAGTCAAACCTTGATGTAAATCAACTTGCACAAAAAGATTTCTTTTTTCTTTAGTATGAAAAGCAATTTTACTATTTATAAGGAACAACAGACACAACAGTTTGTTTACAAATTCAAACTGACAGTATTGCATTATATGTTTGGAATTTGTAGTTACATACACATCCTGTTGTTTACTTATTTGATATTTTGTTGTATAAAATACAACAAATTTACAAAGTATATAAATTTCTATGCCTAAGACTCAACCCAGCTGTTTTCCTGTCTACAAGTGATATGTATTCTTTTGATATTCTGTCTCAGCACTCAATTAAATTAAGTAATTTATTCATACACGACTTAAAAGAAACCTTTAAAACGTGGCACTCGATACAGATCATTCTCAAATATAGCTATATTTTGTGTACTTACTTTTGATGCAGTAAAATTGATTACAAGCTGTATTTCGCCGTTGATCATTCTTAAAACACAATTTACGTTGTAGCTATAATGAACCAAACTGGCAATAATTCCCCAGCTGTCTCCAGTATAAAATTATATAAATATAACTCTATTATCCCGAACAGCAATTTTATTGTTAATATCAACTTTGCACGTACATTGAAGGAAGTTGTTGTGTCATAACGAACAACATATGCAATTACGAACATGTTAACGTTATCAACACGAATTTTGAAACTTCTACTTTAAAATAATAAATGTACAGGACATTATTTTTGAACGTGGCCAAAATGAGAAAAATGTTTTATTTCAGTTCGTATCGCCAGCATACTCATGTAATCCTGCTGTCAATCTCTTTGTGTTTATACTCACAGCAAAAACAATGAATTTGTATAGACATAAATAAGGATGATGAAAAGCTGGACTAAAACTTGAGAACTAAAAACTATACATCACTTGAAACATAGCTACCATCAAGGTATGTAGCTATAAACTTCTACCTCACAAATTGACCGAAATTATCCATTTCTAAAAGTAGCTTGTGTTGATGTGCTTATTTTTGGTTTCAGCAAGCTATTGAAATTGATAATTCATGCTTTATTTTCAAAGGAACTGTAATAAAACAAACGTGGCATTTATAAATATATACGTTAGAAGATATTAGTTGAAGTAATGTCAGTTGTTGTGATTAATTTCTCACTAGTCTACAACATGTGTTTTTCTTTGTGTATGTACGCTCATGCCTTATTTAAAACGTGATCTTTTAGAGAACCTGACATCGATGATCTAACTTGAATTAGTTGAATATGCCAGTATTGTATCGATTCTCTTGGCCTTTGTAAGCAACACGACAATTTTACAAGACGTTTATAAGGACTTGTATTTTCAAAGTGATTAACAAATCATTCCTCTTTAAAACTGAGATATTTTCCTCTGCTGCATGATGTTACGTTCTGACAAAAATCTTCAACTCTAGTCCCACTGATATTCACTACGTTTCTGAAGATTGCAGAGCGAGCATTCTGGGTACAATGGCTGGGTACTGCAATATAAAATTAATACGCATGCGCATCATTGCTTTTCTTTTTAGCGCGCTTTGTCAACGAGAGCGACGCTGACTATTTTTGCTCTAAATTACTCATTTCATTCCTAACGAATCCGAGATGAATTTAATCCACTAAGACAACGATAAACTGATGCAGCAACGTGATTACCTTTCTTTAACATTTATAATTTTGATTCGGTGTTGTAATGTTGTTTTATTTATTTTGCTATTGGTAGAGGATAATTAAGCCACTGATATGTAAACTAAACTAGACTATTTCTCTACGCAAGACACGTCCACAAATGTCAGTATAGAAACCAATAAGGCACGACTAGAAACCGACACATCGGACACCTCAGTCAAAAGAAAATCTTCTATAGGACGTACACTACAATGAACGTTCTACATGTGATTACCAATTTTTATGAAAACTACTCTTAGATCCTTCAAATTATAACCTTGTTTTGTTCCTTATGAGGAGATAGATGTAACGATATAAATTATCAAACATAGTACACCGGGCCTTTTGACCGGATGTACTGTAGTGTGGGGAGATTCTAGCGCCTTCTAAATTGTGTAAGTTTTCCTAGGACTACGTGCAATGGTGGGGCTAAAACGTCGGTCCTTCGCGAGTCCTAGGTCAGGCTTGATGTGTTTACACTGGAGGCCTAGTCAGTACTTGGTCAGTTACGAGACCGCAGTGTAAACGCGGTTTATATATGGTGTGCAACCATTCTTTCTGGAAGGAACACGATTGCTGACGAGCCAGATAATAAACAATTGTTTGGATGAGGTTGAGCATGATATCAAAAATTATTCAGACCAAGGTCAATGTTATCTGCAGAAGCAAAGCTGAGGCAGAATACGTTGCCGAGGTCTGAATAATTTTTAAAATCATAACTACGAAAGCCAAGTTCAATAAGTGTTTTATTATTCACTTTAACTAACTGAAATATTATTAACACATATCAATATAGAACATTTTTCAAACCTTCGTTAATTTTTTTGTCAGCTGGCTTATTCAAGTTCATCTTGTTTAAATATGTTGTAAGCACGTTCAAAGCCATCTTAGCCGCTTTTTTAGTGTTTTCTGGATGCTTCTTGTTTCAAAGCTTTTACATCGTTTTTAGAAACTGTGGAAAACATCGCTATGATTTGACTTTTTTTCGAAACCGGCTTTTAATGACGTCCATAATTGTAGAAACTGTTATTTGTAAATAGACGTCTTACCTACAGATATGTAGAATTATTTGCAGGTAGTTGACCAATCAAAAGCGACATTGCTTACATAGTGAATAATGATGTAAGATAATTGCATGAAATGCATGATACACCAAGATTGCGTGGAACGAGGCGAAAATATAAAATTAGCTACATACAGAGCAACATCTCATTAAAGAAATGAGTGAAAAGACATAACATTAGAATCACATAATTACCTAAATCAGCTCTAATTTTAGCGAAAATATTAGAAAGTTATTATTTCACCACAGTATTTTTAATTATTTTTTCAACGCTTTTTTAAATGATAATGATTATAAAGGATCTTTAAAAGACATAAAAGTTATTTTTTGTTATTATATGTTGAAAGTTTCATTAGAAATAGTGATCAAATTTATGACATTACAGCTTTGGAAATTCTTTATGGTTTTATTTTCATCTCAGTGAACTTTAAGGATTTACCACCTTTCCATTGTCGCCAAGTCACACCTTTGTAATTGTTTTGGTTGCCACTATAGTAGTGTCCATTCAGGTTAGAGTCATAACAATAGTTATCATAACAATACCACCAAGCTCCTTTCCAGTCAGTGGCACAGTTTCCTGCACTTTGATGATTATTTGAATCTTTTGTTGAAAACGCCTTGGCTTTATGACAAGATAATGAATTGCTAGCATTTCCTACAAAAGTAGTACCTTTCAAAGTTCGCATTTTATGCAGTTATAGAATTCTTCTGAACTTGCAGAAACTCTCCCAAAATGGGTTTTATGTCATTGTTAGAAGATTCCTACAGCGGTTTTTTGGGGGGCTTTTGTGAGATTTGCCAATAAGTTTTTTTTTTATTTTATGTAGAAAAAGAGGAAGGAATGATGTAAGTGTTAAAATATGTTATATAACACTGAGTTTTCATTTCACATATTCTGGTGCATGTGGGACATCCAACGACAATCACATTATAACATTGCTACCGTTTGTCATAAAGTTGTTATAGCTGACTTATTTAACAACTATGCTATATCCTGTTTCAAAATGGAATAAATAAATTGCAAAGGTAAATTTGTCAAGACTTTGACTTTGATCCTACTTTCATTTCCCAGAACATTATTTCCACATCCTAGCCTTAACTCATTGCTCTCACTCCTATGTTAAGTAATGAATGGTATTTAATTTTTATTATAATAGACCTTAAAAATTCTTTATTGACTTGATGATATACCTGTAGTGTTGTCCGAGACTTAATTTACATTTATGTTTTTTCATTCTTCTATATGTAAATTTATCCACGTATAATTGAATGAATTTCAGTAACGTTTATATATGTATAAATATATTATATTTATTTATACCTATTCTTGAGGTTAAATAGTTGGAATGTTATGAAACAAAAAGAATAATAGCATAATGCTTTAACGAACAACTACAAACAATAATGACCTTATCTAACAACATTTGAAAATTAAACCTCCACTCCTCTTCTTTGTAAACAAGACAAGTCTATTCAAAAGCAGAGAGCCTTAATTACAAGTCCTGAGCTTGTGACCAGTATAGCAGAGTATAATTCTAGGACTAAAAGGAACAGGAGTGGAAGGTTAATTTTGCAAATGTTGTTAGATAATGTCGTTATTGTTTGTAGTTGTTGGATAGAGCATTATGCTATCATTTTTTTATTTATACATATATAAAAAATCTTGGAATGGAAGCCTGAATTTAATATTATATATTACAGGTTTGCATATATTTTATATAAAAGGTTTTAATGTTTATTTAAGTCCACATAATTTAGCAATGTTTCAGGCGCATGCTCATTACTTGTTTACAAAGCTTCAATTGAATTTTCATTTAATCTTAATCATACGGTAAGCACAATCCATGAATGATCTCTTTTTGTAAGTCAAAAATTGTTGTCGTAGGGTGCAACTTAATGATTCACACAACAAAATGATTTTTATGTTTGTTCAATGTATTTTGTTCGTAATATCAAATTGATTATATTTTTTAAGATCTAACAAGACTTCCGCTCAAAGTCAACCGTTAAAATATCTATGTTTTTCCCAAAATTGCTGACCTGCCCACGCAAACTCGAATCATTACAACGTATAATGCTTATATCAAAAAATGGCTTAGAAATTTGTCCATCAAATGTTTACATTTACTTATTGACTCACCAGAATATGCACCAAGACTCAACTTATATTTATTTGCTTCATTCTCTACAGCAAAATAATCATATTCAGCATATGCTTTGTTTCCTGACCAGTCTCCAAGGTCAACACGAAGTTTATTTCTCCTTGCTGATGTTAGTCTGTATATTTTATCCAATCCAAGCCAGAATTCGCCTTTCAGATCACCAAAACCATTCTTATAATCCCTCCAATCTCGATAAAAGTCTACACTTCCATCTTGACGACGTTGAAACACAGTCCAACCTCCACTAGATGTTGTCATATCACAGAAAACATTGAAACTGCCCTGGCCATCTGGATCAATTTCATAAACTCCATTCTTCCTCTTTCCTTTCATGTATAGATCTGCACAGTCTTTTGCCTATAAAAATATTATTGAAAAATCTATTGCATTGAACTTCCTACGGGTTATAAATCATTAGGCATCCAAAGAAATTGTTATGAAAAGCTTTCCTACATAGATCCATTGTGCCAAATAGCTGTTCAAAACATTTTAAGATTAAACTCAACATATTTAAAATTGGCACAATTTCATTCTTATCCTCGAAATCGTATGAATTTTAAAATTGCATTCTTTTTCTCGAAATCGAATTAAATTCAGTAACCTAAAAATAGACACTTGATTGGGCATTTTTCTTTTAATTAGTACTTTAAGTCAGATTTTATATAGTTTTGCACAATGCTTATCAGGAAAAAAATAAGCGTTAACAATATATTTAAAATTAACACATAATACCCACTTAACAAACATTTTCAAATCAACCACTTTCTTTTTTCTTACCAATGCATGAGATTCATAAAAAGTCCATTTGCCTTCTGAGGCTAGTTTCTCCATATTTCTGGGTTTTTCTGTTGGTAATTTGGCAGTTTATCTCAAATTCTTTTGCATCAAATAAGAAATTAAAGCCAACACATAGTTTCTGTTGATGACATTTCATGGAACATTCAATGTCATTGTGAACAGCATGAGTTGAAATGATATCTTTTGGTGATAACGTCTCACCTTTAAAACAAAGAACAAAACAGGATCAATTACAAAAGGTGTAAATAATACAAAAAGATAACAAAGTCTATTTTATAGTCAAAAATACAAAAAAGAAATAACAAGATTTATAAAATGCAATGAGTCATGGAGCAAAAGAAAGTGAAAGATTATCTTCGCTCGTCAAAATTAACCAATAAATTATCAACGTTTAAACCTTAGATGGAAACATTTTATATAAATATCATGAAATATAGGGTGATAACACAATGGTAAATATATAATATTTCCCTATAATTTCTACACTGTGTTTCGTATATCACCACTTTTATTGCTCTTGCTTCTGAAGCTTTTTGATAAATATTTCCTCAATCATAAAGATTTTTATACGAATTTAAATATTAGCCGTCATGTTTAAAGTAAACATATAAGATCAGTACTGTACATTGCCCCTTGCTACTCTTAAATAAAAGACCAGCTTCATGGCTGTATAATTTCGGACTTAAAGCTTCATTTGAAAAGCTACTATTACATTTACACTGATGTTGAAAAGAACCATAGCTACAAGTATAGCAGGTAGATTCTTTAATCATGGAATGATTTAAAATTTTAGAAATCATAGCATTACGACTTATTTCTTATGTATAGCAATGAAACACTATTGTGTAAGTATGCCTGAATGTTCAATAAGAATAATTGACTTTATGAGGTCAAATGCAGTGTTCTTAAACAAGTCCCAGCGCATTAATTGTGTCAGCGCAAGCTCCCGTAACTTTGCCTGAAAGAGAAGGTTTTTGTTTTTGGATAAGGGTAGAACTAATCATAAAAGTTTACAACTGATCAAAAACCGTAAAAATTTTGGCTAGCGTTTATTTTAGCATCGGCCGACCATTCGCACAGATATTACGTTCATTCAAATTTTAATTATAATAAACCAAAAAGAACTCCTTTCATACATTTTGGTTTGTTTTATTTTATATGTACAAACATGTTTTTAATATCTAACCTCTAGTTCTTTCCTCTTTTTTCTGGAAATAGGATGACATTGCAGAATTTTTAGAAGTTAACTTCGATGCATCAAAGCTGGAAAATAACACGACAAACATTGCCTCGTCAAATTTATACCGTCCTAACAGCAGTTTTGTTAAGTCTTGGTTTATTCCAAACATTTCATGAGAAGGAAATAGCAAAAAGTTCAAAATATTGATGTGTCCTTGTCGGCTTTCTGATTTAATTGGTAACATACACCAGAAAGGGAAAAACAGCCGAAGATCATACTGTAGTCAAAAAAATTGAAGCCTAGAAGTCTGCCTGCTTCTATTTACTATCTACAGAGATGGACATTTCGAATCTTTTTTTTGCTTCTATTTACTATCTACAGAGATGGACATTTCAAATCTAAATTTTTTTAAACTACAGTGTATGTTCATTTTGAAGCAGGCAGACTTATTACTTATTAGCATAGATTCATGACGTTAGACAGAATGTACTAATCTCACATCAGAAGACGCAAAATAATAAATAAGAATCAATGATCTGAAATGTGTTAGAATGCTGTTGAATTGATTTGATAAATGTTAATGAAACAGCAAAATAAATCATCATAATTATTATTTTGTGGGTTTGGGAGCTATTACGATAGGAATTGTTGTTCAAATATCAATCAAGATATGGTTTAGAGGTATATATGCATATGTAGATGCTTTTGCAAAAAAATTTTTACCATGACATAGTGAGGACATTGGGATTATTACTGTTTTATTATTCATGATGATAACTCACACTGTAGGTTTATAATACATCTGCTTACAGGACCCTAATAACGTCATAAAGTGAAAAAGTAAAGTACAGAAATGTAAACTATTTAAATTTGTATAAAAAATTTATATTTTATTTGAAACAAAAAAAACTTTGGTAAATTTTGCTTCAGTTTTTCAGTGTAATGTAATAAGACATATTTAAGGAATCGCTGGATCGATGAAACATTATATAATTGTTCTTATGGTTTTGTCCTTTATCATAAAACAACTTTCAAAACTTCAGAATAAACCAAAACTCAGTATTTCTACAAGTAGATTGCTTTGTTGATTTGAGTGACCACTAGGTAAAATTTTCTTGATAAAATATTTGTCATGTTATCGCTTTGATGCATCCAAAATTTACATTCAGCAACTCTGCAACGTAATCCTATTTCTAAACAAGTGGCTAAGACTAGCATGGAAGCAGGGACGAAGCTAGAACGTTATTGGGGAGGGAATTTATATATCTAGACAACACAGACGTCTCATGTGAATTAAATACATTAATTTCTTTTATTATATGGCTGGTGTCACTTCCAGTAAACTAGCGTGCCTTCATTAGCTCAAAATCTGTTTTTCAGGTCCATTTTTGCAAACAAACGTAAACAAATTTCGTAAAGCAAATATTTATAAAACGCAAAAAGTTAAGCAAAAAACAATGTACGGAACTGAGTCGAGCTAGAAGTCTCAAAGTCTTACCTGTTTTATTATTCTTATCAATGACACAATTACATGTATTTTTACTAACGATCAAACGTAAAGAATTTAAGGCCAAAAACAGCGAGAGCAACAATGCTAGATAGAACGCTTCGTTTTAGATTAGAAAAAACATATATGAAAAATACTATCTTCGCTTGTTCAGTTTTTGCTAATACATTTTGCCAGAATGGTATAAAATAGAAATGAGAAAGCTTTATTGCAATTAAACAACTACAAATGTAACCTGCAGGTACGCGTTTTAAAACATACTAGTTTTTTACATCCTCCAAAACATTTATTTTATCTTTTACTCTGTAGCTTACCGTTGTCTTTTATCTTCATAAAAAAACTTTGTGAACTTTGACAAGCATTATTCGATGCATTGCAGATAGCAACTAAAAGAAAAACTACAGAAACGCGCATCAACATCTTGGATAAAAGAAAAAACTTTATGTTTGAAAACGTTTTTGAGAACATTTATACAGCCACCGTCATAAAGAATAATGTATATTTTGTACATGCAGCTGTGTTTAATTTACCTAAATTGCATAAAAAAGCACTTTCCGATATTTTGGGAAAGTTTTAAGGCGATAAAAGCGATTTATATTCAATTCCTAAAGGCGTAAGCTTGTAGAAATATTTTTGCTGGTTGACAATTGATAAATTGGATAAATTGGTGTATTAGTGAACATTATCTTAAAACATTGTTCACACTAATTATATCCTATGTGATAGACAACGCATTAAGTTAAAACTACTAAGTTATTAATCATTAAGTACTCAAATATGTCTTCGTTTCACATATCGTGGTTAATAATTGATTGCTAAAACCACCAGGTCTGTATTAATTAAAAACGTAAAAACTTTGCAAAATCATTTAGAAATAAAGTAACTGCTAAAGACATCGTGTTTTGTTTTGTGAGCTAAAATCAATTTTCGCTAAAGTCCTGCCATAATGGGTTTTTAATTACGATATCTTTAGCCATAATATTTGCAATAATGCCCGAAAAGTATTTTTATTGTCAAGTGTATGCAAATTAAAGCTTTTGGGGTACAAGAAAGTGCTATTTTTATTATAAATGTTAATTTAATACACAAGTTTAATGATAAGTTCTTTTAAAAAAAACGTCAATTTCAAAGTAAGACGTAGGTGAAAGTGCACAGAACAAACAACAGCTGAAGCAATATATCACTAAAAAGGGCAAGCGCATTTTCAAAGAAAATAAATTACTTTTTCTTATAGTTTCATGACCTTGTATGATCAGTTATCAAGATCCAAAATAATAGATGTGTGATTGCTTTATCATTCTACCATCGCTCAAATATATTTGCTGTTGCAAACATGTCGGTTTGAGCTTGTTTACATATAGGTCTATGTTAAAAATTTGGGAGATGTTATTGTTTTGGAAAAGGTATAATAAGAGTGTTTTTCAAAAATATAAGCATAATATCTTAAACAAGTTTTGAACTATACAGCAGAGATAATGAAATAACAATAAAGGAGCCCCTATAGACTGAAGTCAAGAATAGCAAACTTCAGAAGCATATACTTCCTTCCTAAATTATTAAGAAGTGTAATTCTTTATTCCTTTGCCATAAACAGTGCTTTTAAGCAGCCTTCAATTGATTAATAATTTGAATAAAATAATTAAGAAGGCTCAAGATCTGTAGTTTAATATGACCACTGACTATTGTTTCGAATTGATTTCATTTCCGACAAATTAATGATAATTATATATTATTGTGATGATACTAATTTCATGGAAGTTTTGCATTGTCCAAACAGAAATTCTCGAAATTCTTTTAAATCTATTTCATGGTCTTCAAACTGAACAAAAACTAAATATTGTAATATAGTTTAAATAAGCTAAATATACTGCTCAAAAGGTCAAGTGGATTTGTTTTAGCTTTGACATAAATAAAAAGAAGGAGAAGCTGAAGAGAGGAAGTAGAATCTACACCAAACGAGGATAAAACCCAAATTCAAAAAAAGGATTCCAAAACTTGAAAAATCTTAGAAATTGCGCAAGGATAGAGTAGATATCACTTAAGTGACTTAATCAATGGCGTATAGCATTTATGTAAAATCTTTCTAGATCCTACTTAAATAAACACCTGCCGAAAGAGGTTTTAATAAGAAAAATAACAATTTAGTCTTTCGGTTTTACGTACAAACAAAACATAAACAAAAGTGAACATTTCAAAGAGTAACTTTGATCGATTACACCTACGATTTATATATTTCGTACATATAGCTGTGTTTGATTTACCTAAATACCATAAAAAAGCACTTTCCGATATTTTGGGAAAGTTTTAAGGCGATAAAAGCGATTTATATTCAATTCCTAAAGGCGTAAGCTTGT